ATCACATTTTTTTCATTTCTGTTTTTTTTAATATATATTTATGTTTTAAATGTCACCAGTTATGAAGAACTAGTCTGAAATTATTGTAAATGGTTATTCCCAAGTAACAGTTTTCTTAATTTATATCTATTTTAAAAATAAATATATAACCTAAGTAAAATAAATAAATACATGTAACTTAAAATTTATTTTAATTTATGTATAGAGCCACAGCACACACACACACACACACACACACACACACACACACACAAGAACTCCGCATGTCTGCCATTGCTGTGACGTGCACGCCCTGCAGACGCAGTCTGGTCTACATTTTTAAAAGGCACGTAACAATTATTGGTCTTGATTCAAGTACAGTAACATACAAGTTATTAATTCAGGAACTGGACTACATTGGTTGCTTTATACATTTCTGATTCATTGATGCAAAATAATCATTGTAAGGAAATAATGTTTCTTGTTGCGCATTCTGTTCAAATCATTAAATAAATAGACCTAATGCAAAATAAACTCCAGAGTATTTAAGCACGTTATTCCGTCTGCATCAGTGTAACCATACAGATGGTTAACAGAATCACATTTTTTTCATTTCTGTTTTTTTTTATATATATTTATGTTTTAAATGTCACCAGTTATGAAGAACTAGTCTGAAATTATTGTAAATGGTTATTCCCAAGTAACAGTTTTCTTAATTTATATCTATTTTAAAAATAAATATATAACCTAAGTAAAATAAATAAATACATGTAACTTAAAATTTATTTTAATTTATGTATAGAGCCACAGCACACACACACACACACACACAAGAACTCCGCATGTCTGCCATTGCTGTGACGTGCACGCCCTGCAGACGCAGTCTGGTCTAAATTTTTAAAAGGCACGTAACAATTATTGGTAAAAAATTCCCATAATGTAAAAACAAAGTGAAGGATCAGGAAAAAAACAGATCGGACAGTGTGCATCGTGGGAAATTGTGTCCTCTTATCATTCACCGGCATCTTTTTCTCCAAATATTAACCTGCCATACTGCTGATTTCAATTTATGCTTTAAGTCTGAGTAAACACCCCAGAGCACTGTGTGGAGATGAGACGACAGAGTTGTCTGACAGAGAAAAGTTTAATAATGTTCAGTGTTCTTTTAACCTCACTCTGAGCATGTCTCTGTCTGAGTAATCCAACAGCAGCTCGACGGAAACAGGAAGTAGGAATGCTCAAAGCTTACCGATTCGTGACTGTAGACTGTTCTGAAATGCCTAGAAAAAACTTTCAGCCCTGAAGGTCAGATTAATCTGATTGGATTGTCGCTAGACGCGACAAAAAAGGTATAGCACACAATTATTAGTTCCACTCCATGATGTCCATGATGTCTGGTATTCACAAAAATATTAGCTTTGTTGAAGAAAATGAGGACATAAATGATATTTTAGTGGTATTTTTATGTTCTCACACAGCAAACGGTCTCTCTTTCGAATATTTATTAATGTCTGTCAGTTCCTTTTTTTGGCCTATGAACTGCAAAAGGTCAAGTTTACTTGACACATGCTCAGCTGGGAAGGCAGTGAAATGTTATTTCTGTGGCTGTACGTAGAAGAACTTTACTAGACAAAAAGGCAATGAAAAACAATAAATACACAAAAGGTTTTTCATCTTACTAGCATTCCCTTCTCAACCATCGTTACACGCACAACAGTATGAATATATAAAATTTACAGCCTTCAATGATTTTTAAAGACGAATGGCTCCCATTGCATAATCCAGATCTGTTCGTAAAAGTGAAGTGTTTTCATTCTAAACAATCTGCATTCAGGGCCCATGTCAGGTTATTAGCCATCAGAAATCCCTGAGCGTAATGTAATATTACACTCGGCTGGTGTTGGATCACTAGAGGACGAGAGAATAACTAATTCTTCCAGAACCCTGCACTTTATTAACAACCAGCAATAAAGTATATAAACTGCACTATTAGACTTTATAATGTATTTCATAGTCCTCAAGGGTAATTCCAGCCAATCAGATCGCAGACCGAATGGGCACTGCCCCATGGCAGCTTCCTGGCACGATGAAACTACTGAACAACAGAGAGGATATAACCGTGCCTACTGGAATGATTTCTACTCTCTGCTAATGAAGGAATAAATGTTTGCGCAGTTGTTTTTGACCACTCGAATGAAGCCAGCACTCGATTGGACAGCTGACGTGCCCAGACTTGTAAATAAGAAGGTCTAAGGACTGGCAGAAAATGCCTTATGAATCTGTCCACATTCACTACGTCCTCTGTATAAATTCAAGGCGGTTTGTGGGGCCAGATTCTGTTTGTACCGAGAATCTGCTGTAATCTTTGTGGTATTTCTCGATATAAAAGAATAATACTTATTCTAATAAAAGACCCACCAGGGAACTTGGCACAGGTTTTGGTATTCATATTTATGTTCTATTAAACAGGCAAGTGAACTGGGCGGAGTAGAAAAAACAGCTGTATTGGTACAAAGACCCGCGGGGTGTCAATCGCCATCCGTCACCTTTAACACTAAATCAACAGTGGATACGAAGGGTCACGGCCACCTAGCCGTCTTGCAGCATCCCGCTACGGGAAGCCGGGGTCCTCGTGTCCGTTTTAGGCCTCGCGATCAACGCCGCCACAAAGAGGATTTTTCTTTGATGAAGCAAACGAGCACCGGGCCAAGAACAGCAAGTGCCACTGTCGAAATGTAAATCAAAAAACCACCCGCGTGCACAGTCACACGCGCTGAGAAGTCTGGAGACACAGTTGCTGCCGTCTATTAATGCATGAATAATTCGGCCCATGTAGATGTGCGGTTAGCTGTGGCATGTCCCCCTGGCACAGGCCAAGAGCGAGTAGCCCCTTCATCTCAGTACGGAGTCAGGGAGACAGAGCGAGTAGGCAAAACAATCAGATCCATTTCACATGAGGCAGGAATTCGACCCCTATATCAAAAAGCAAGAGGGAAAAAAGGTTGGAGAGTGTGGGCGCATTTTTATGAGTGATTCTCAAGACATGGTCCAAGCTAAAAATACATTTTATGATGACACATCGGAGCCAATTCTGTTTTTCCTCCGTTTAAGCCCAGGTCCAGAGCACATTTCCTCTGGTATTCCAGCGATATTTCGACACTTATTCAAACCAGATAATATTTTTTTTACAGAATTATTGGTTTGAGGGTTGTATTGGCAGGGCGAGGGTGCCCTTGAAATGAAGGATGATTCAGGCCGTTTCTTTGGCTTGGCATTGCACATCCCGCAAGCATAAATAAAACAAAACTGGACATTGGTGCCATAAAAAGCCTAAATTGTAGTTATAATCCAACCAGCATTAAAGGTCGCCGACGTCTGAATGTTTTACCTCAGGATTGATTAAGTAGGTTGAGGTTTTACATATTATTTGAAAAACAACAATGGAATGATCACAAACCATAATGATTGAACATCACATGCTGTAATCTTCTAAAACCACAAGAGCAGCTTTCATCAAACGCTACTCGATTAGATTATAAAATGTTTTTCAAACTTTTTCCGCAGATTATGCCTCACCGACCGCATCTTTCTCTCAAAAATAAGCTCGTAAACTCCCAACCAAATTAAGCTGAATCAACACTCGAGACGGTCCTCGAGAGACCTGTTTGTGAGAAATGATTCAATGGCTTCCATTACAGCAAGCTGGCTCTCAAAGGCTTGGTGACTGACTCTGAAAATGTTTCACTTGTTAAAGGTTTGCTCAGTGATGTCATCGACCAGGATGAAATAGCACTGCACATTGATCATGAGGACTTTGTGAATCAATGGAACAAGCTGCAAACATTACAGTTTCCCCACACAATCAGTTTATCCATGCCTCATTCTGATGTCATAGGAGTTCCCCAAAAGACGTGGGCCGCAGTCGAGGAGGATGTGTGGGAGTGAGAGCACAACTGTATAGAGATCAAGTGTGTGTAAGTGTGAGAGAGAAAGCCCAAAGACCAGAGAAACGAACGAAAAATGCTCAGGCGAGAGCAGGTAATTGCGCAGCCCACAACGCTTTACCAGTGATGCAACCACCGACGTCAACATTTTTTTCAACTTGAGTGCAATCAGCCACAGCAACTAAAACAAAGCAATCCTGTGGACAACACATGTTTACAGGAAGCAATAAAGCATCCACCTATAAATCACCTGAATGAGGACTTCTAAATCTGATCAATCTGAGTGTTTTATACTTTTTGGCAGCACCACACAACATATCCTGAGATAATTAATGTAGCCAACTTAACGCGATCAAGTATTTTGTCAAAAGACAAACCGTGCGAGATTAATGTAACTTTGTTATTTAATAGTAACAGTAACAGTTAAATACAATGCGACAGGACGATGTTCACAAGTTTGCTTTTGCGCTTAGACGTTATTGTAAATTACCCCCACATATTTATCACACACTCAAATATAGGCTATATCACCATAGATGTCAGTTTGAAACAGGTAAGTTAAGGTAAGGTAAAGAGTGTATAACCTTTCCCTGAAAGGACAAGATCTGCATTAACTAAATTTTCTTCGGCAAATGTAAAATTCTGTGTCTGATTTTTAATGTAGGCTATATCTGACTGCTATGCAACTAAATTAATTAATACATCCAATACATCAAATTGTATAAGTAGCCTGATTCATTTGTAGTTTTTATAATCAATTTATGTTTTTCTTATGTATTTATTTACTATAAATTCATTTATTTTATTATTTTTCTTAATATATAGCTATTTTAAAACCATTAAAGGTTTCCAAAAACTAATGGCTTTAGGCTCTGTTGTGCAGATTGACATTTAACAAAGAAGCCGTTGTAAGCTAGGCTTAAATTTATTTGAATGCTAAATATTTTTATTGTTATTTTATATTTGCATTCTTAATTATGCGCAGCCATAGCTGGGATCATTTTAATCCATAAACCAGATTAAGGCGACAAAATCTCGAAAATAAATAAATAAATACACAAGTCCGCAGGTACATACCCTCTCCGGGTGACATGGTGAAACAGTGAAGTTTGGAGGTGTGATGCGCGTGGAGTTTGAGATCTCCAGACCCGCAGCGCATCTGTATCGAGGCGGGATTCGAGCCACAGCCGTCAGCAGGGACGCGTTTCGGGCAGATGTCTGTTTTACTGCTGAACATGGAGAAAGTGAGCTCGGTGAAATCTGTCTGATGACTGACCATCCCAATATGCGCTGCAGATTTCTGCATCTGGACCTCTGACTTCCAAGTGTGCATGTCAGTCCCCATTCAATAATAGTCCTTATCGCTTCTTGTACCTGTGGGATGAAGGATCATGAACTTGAACTTCACTTGAAAGAACAAACTCTTACAGCTCTCAAAGGACTCTGAAAACACGATAAGCATACAGCCAGTCATTTGTATAGCTTAATACAGTAAAACACACTGAATAATTAATGTTTTCATATGTTGTAGAATAATTTTAAAACATAGCCTACCTATTTAAACCCTCCAAAGCAAGAAAGAACGGATATTTTGACTGAATGATGATGACTCTCAACTTCTGCGTCCAACAGGCTGTTAAATGTGTTCTTACCGACCGCATCCTCTCTCCTGTTTCAGCAGCAATTTTATGAGTTTTCTATCGCATCAATTCTGAAAAGCAAAACATGCGTCCCTGCTTTGATTGACAGCTCGAAGTGCCAGTGAATATATACTGCTGAAAGGGGAGGGACCAATCGGGAACAAACTGGATGCATGTTTTGTGAATAGTGAAATTGATCTCGAGCCACTTCAAACTGGGAATAATCATTTGCATTTATACAACTAAAACAGTTCTGTACAACTTCCTCAGATAATCAAGCCATGACAGAGATGAGAGACAAATCAATTGAGAGACAAATTGTCTATTTTGTCCTAGACAAAACAAGATCATTGAGAGTACACAGATCAATAATAAATATTTCTTAGGCCAATTAACTGGAGAAAGATGTGGCACTAGCGTAAAAATCTTATGTTTATTTTTCTGCCTGTCGGTAGAGAATCGCAGAGAGTATGATAAAAAAAATAGTGATTTGTGAAAAAGGCAAAAACAATAGAAAGGTGTTGTAGTCAGACATGTCAACAGTGACATCTTATGGACATTTTTAGAAACTAACATTAAAACGGCAGTCGGCCTAATAATTATAAAGACCATAGATGGGACTTTTTTTATATATATATATTTTAAGAAAAAAGCATAAAAACAATGTGGTAAGTTATTAGAGTATTTTTTAAACCGAAAATGGGTCCACTATGATCCAAATGCAAAAGAAAGTTCCGTTTTACATGTAATTAACGCACAGAGCAAGTTATGATTCTTACTATGGCGAAGGTGGGTTCATGAATATTAATTAGGCTCCGTGACGCGGGTCTTCTAAAGGCAAGTGGTCGCTAGTCGCCTGGCGAATCAACAAATCCTGCTATGACAAAGGCGTATGAATATTAAGTTCCAGGAAGGTTACCAAGCAACGCCAATATGACCTAATTAATAATAATGAGCAAAGCCTTTGCCCTAGTAAGATTTGGTCTTGAATTTTGGCGTTGTGTAATATTGTTGTGGTGTGGAGGGCGGTAAGCTTTTGCGACAACACAGGCAAAGTTTGATGTCTTTGTCGATCATGTAGTGCTCGCGCCACGACGCGTGGATTGATCAATTCTTCTCGCGATGGGGACAGCAGTGGGATATGCGCTCAGAAAACTTTCTGTTTATGTATCAGCTGTGGCCATGATATTATTTACGATTGTGCATATAACCCTGTTGAAATTTCTGTCATTCGTTTCCCCGGGACTGATGAGGAAAATCCATCTAAAAATGGGAGAGAAGTCGACGATGACTCAGAATCCCAAATTCAGATACGAAGACTGGGGTCCGACTTTCTTTTCTCTGAGGTTCATTAAAGCCGTGCTCTCCGTGAACTGGTGCTCGCTGGGCCTGGAGGCGTTTGAGGGGCACGCGGCTCCGGACACAGCTTTATTCACCCTGGATGGACAGAAAACGAGCATTCATCGTTTTCTTAAAGGTATAGTAAATGGATTCTTTATTATTATTATTGGTATAATTAAACTGACTGCCTCAGTCCTAAGGGTCTTTTCCAATAAAATAAAAAAAATTTTGGAACTGACCAGAGTATTTAAAGGGATGTTACATTAAAAGCATTCGTTTTTATAGTCTAGACGGTATTTAATGCTGTTACATTAAAAGTAATTAATTCATTACTTAGTAATGCATTACACCCAACACTGTTACTGATGCAGTCTTCTTCACAGGGAACCGTCCACTGGTTCTGAGTTTCGGAAGCTGCACATGACCCCCATTTCTCTTCAAACTTGACGAGTTCAAACAACTTGTCAAGGACTTCAGTGATGTAGCAGATTTCCTCGTTGTTTACCTTGCAGAAGCGCATGCAACTGGTAATGACAATAATATTTCAAATAATTTGCTGTTGTCCTCATGCAATTGCAGCAATATGGGTTGATATATAAACATTGCCTAGAATACACTGTAGAGTACTTTACATGTAGAGTACTAAGTGATAAATGTGATAAAAATAGCAAAATTCTTCTTTTATCTTATAGATGCTTGGGCCTTTGAAAACAACATCGACATCAGCGTGCACAAAAACTTGGAGGAGAGACTGGCTGCGGCCCGGACCCTGGTCAAAGAAGACCCCCTCTGCCCTGTGGTAGTGGATGAGATAACCAACATCACTGCCAGCAAATACGGAGCCCTGCCTGAGCGCCTTTATGTCATTCAGAGTGGGAAAGTTATCTATCAGGTGAGCGTTTTGTAATGTAGACAAACTGCACAGTGCACACAGTACAGGAAATGCCTCCAAAGCTTCATAACTGCTCTTGTGAGAGCAGTAGAGAGTTGCTAGTGAAAGCTTTGGTACATTGTAACCTTGGCCAGAGGTTTTACACACACTCTTGTTCTTGTAGTAAGAGATTTCAAGTGTTTATAGAGATAAAAGGTTTGGAATGAGCTGAACAGCATGAGGCAAAGGGTTTGATAGTCGCAATTGGTTCTGTTCTTTTGCTGCATTTTTGATTGCCAGTGTTTTGTATAGTCTTAATATATTGATCAGGAAGTCCACAGTACAGAGGGATTTTCACACTCGTTTTTATTCTTCCTAACAGGGTGGCATCGGACCTTGGGGGTACAACCCTGAAGAGGTTCGAAAAGTTCTGGAGAAAATTAATTAAAAGAGAGAAAAATTTAAGTTTTCTATCCATGATTGCATTGATATATTTGCTCTTTTCCTTGTGTTTGCTTGTGACGGATACAGATTAAACCAGCTGGTCTCTGTACCTTGATGTTTCAAACACAGGGGGAAGTCAAATGTAAGTCGGTGACAGTATCTTTAGCATATATTTTTTAATGGAATTTGTAATCAAATGTTTTAGTATTTTTTGGTAAACATTGATATATTTTTTCTGCTTTAATGCAAATGCATAATTATTATACCAGCATTGCATTCAAAGACTATATAAATATCCATCAGCAGAGATTGTGAAGGGCATCTGTGCTTGTAAGATTTTTTTCTGAACTTGTGACTGTAAATGATTCTTACAGGGTAAAACTGAACTGTAAACTGATAATTCAGTCATTTGTTCTAAACAAATTTAGAAGCACAGATTTCACTGAATACACAGTTTTCAACAAATATTCAAATAAACAGTCATATACATCTCATAAGAGTGAGTGTATGTCATTGTATATCAATGGTGTGTGCTTGTCCTTCAGTGAAAAGCACATCTTGAACTGCTCTTTTATCCATGCTTGACCTGACAAATATTTCAAATAATTTCTTTTAAGCTGCACAGTTCGAACAATAACAATGTAATTTTCACAAAAAAGGACATTATAAGGCAGTTATGAACATGTTGCACATTGCAGTCCCTGAATCTATTAAAAAAAGTAGAACAGCTACACAAAATCATTTATGTTCAGTGTATCTTAAGAACCCTTTCATCCAGTACATCTCATCAAACCTATTACAGCTAAATTCATTATTGACCTGCTATTCAAATGGCTGCTAGTAACAGTAATCCTGGTCTTCAATGGACAATGCTAGTCTAGATGTAAGTATAGAATCTAATGTTATCTACTATGGAATATGCTAACATAATACATTGCAAATGGATGTTTTTTAATAACACTTGCACAATATTAAAAACAATTGTTTGGTAACCTGTAAAAGATGGAGAGGTCAAATGAAATGATGGAAGATAATATCAAATTATTAAATGTAAAACAAAGACGTGCTGAATTTTGGACTTCTACCTGTTCTACCTTTAATTTAATTCAGACTTAAGCAATTCATTTTTTGAGATATTCATGAATGATAAACAACAATCAGTTCCTGTATTTAGCTGCAAGAACCATAACCTTATGACTGCATTTGTACTTTGGACTCGTGTCACATGGTGTATTTGGCAGTCAGGATCCTGTTGTGGGTTGCTCGCCAAGCTACAGACACTACAGACTGATCCAAAGACAAAGTTTGACTCCAGACTCCGCTTTCATTCATTTAAAAGGGCTGCTAGGTCTTAAAACATTATTCTTAAAGGGTTAGTTCACGCCAAAATGAAAATTCTGTCTTTAATTACCCTCATGCCGTTCCAAACCCGTAAGACCTTCGTTCATCTTCGGAACACAAATTAAGATATTTTTGATGAAATGTGAGAGCTCTCAGACCCTGCATAGACAGCAATGCAACTGTAATGTTCCCAGGTCCAGAAATGTAGTAAGACATTGGTAAAACAGTCCATGTGACATCAGTGGCTCAACTTTTGAGCGCAAAGGAAACAAAAATAACATTACTTACTTAACAATCCCCCCCGAGTTATGCCTTCCACCATTTTGGAGAGTACCCAAGAGCGTAATCAACGTAATCAGCGTTGTTTACGTTCGGAGGAGAAAGTGTGCACATTAACGTAATCTGCGTAGTTTATGCTTAGGGGAAAGCGTGCGTATGTGTTACGATACTCTAAAATGGCGGAAGACGTAACTCAGGGGAGAAGAATTGTTGAATAAATAATGTTATTTTTGTTTTCTTTGCGCTCAAAAAGTATTCTCGTAGCTTCGCAAAACTGAAGTTGAGCCACTGATGTCAAATGGACTGTTTTACCGATGTCTTACTACATATCTGGACCTGGGAACACTACAGTTGCGTTGCTGTCTATGCAGGGTCTGAGAGCTCTCACATTTCATCAAAAATATTTTAATTTGTGTTTCGAAGATGAACAAAGGTCTTACAGGTTTGGAACGACATGAGGGTGAGTAATTAATGACAGAATTTTTATTTTTGGGTGAACTATCCCTTTAAGGACTAATGGTACAACTAGTTTATTAAAACAGCTAAACATGGATGTGCAAAGCTTTTTATATCCACCACATGCTTTAAAATGTCTTTGTGTCAGTTATATGCAGTAAATGATTGATTTACATCTATTTTTTAATCATGACCTTTGATTTCTATCGTAATTAGAATGACAGTTCACGGTTTACCACAAGATCAGGCAGCCAAGTCACAGAATGTAATCTGTTGAAACTTACCAAGCAACTATATTAAAAATATAATTTTAGCAATGTTGTGTTTACTTTGAAAAACAAGGGAAAAAAATGTCTGTGGGAATAGTCCCTAATACCATTTGAGAGTTGCTGAGAACGAAAAAGACTCTTAAGAACGATCACTGGTTTGTGGAGTTTAAGTGCCAGTTGGTTGGGCAAAACCTGTAGAGCTCTTATGAATCACTTGTGCCTCACAGGTTGTGCATGACACCCTCGCAGCCCGTTTGAGCAGTGTCCACTATGATCCTGCTGGACGTTTCGCAGAGGAGCAGAGCGAAGAGCTTTGTCAATGGATTCTTACGATACGCTCTGCCTATTTAAAAACATTGTACCATTGCATTGTACCATGAGTGAAAACAGACAGAGGCTTGAGACAATTAAGGAACAACTTTATCTTACATCGAAACTGGTTCACTGATTCAAAGAGAATGATTTACATGGAAATCAAATGGCTGGATCTTGGCCCTCTGGAGAGACGCTACCCTAAAGAAGTCGGGGAACATCAACAGCTTTACATCATTTCCCAAAGTTAAAATCATTTCACATCGAGCTTTCCCTTTTCTCTTAAAAAGCGATTTGCTGGAAACTGAAGGTAGGCTGAAACGCTGCTTTCCTGCTTGAATTAGTATAAATGACTGAAAAACATAAGACAAAAATCCTCAAAGGAGCCAAATAATTTAGTAGTCAATATATAAACAAGCCTATTCAGCCCACAGTTAAAAGTATGATGCACAAGCTAACAAAAGCAGTGCAAAACAACTACTAAAATGTAAAACAATGTCCAAGTGTCTGTATAAATAGAATAAGTTACCATTCTAACTGTAGTATGATTTTTTTCGGATGTTGCTCAAATGAAACCTAATACAAAACAAATCCAAACACACTAGAGTCTGGCTTACAAAAGCAACATCCTTACGGGATGACGCCTTTAAACCAACATCAAACCATTTCAGAGCTAAAACAAGAGGCACATGAGAGAGAATTACATATATATATAAAAAAGAAAACATGATATGGGTATCTTTAACCACCACAAATTCATCAAGACATAATCAAACCAAACAATGGCTGAACATTTTGCAGGGAGACCCATCCAGACGCGTAATCCAGTCACCCGCCTGAGGAGCTCTGAGAAGGTCTCATAGGTAGTATGTTTGTCAGGGTCAGCATCTGAGAGGATCAGCGTATCATTCAGTCTTCGACCAAAAATTGACAGCAGTTAAATTTCAGAAAAATAAGAGAACATGAAAACAGTGCAGAAAACAAAAAAGCCATCTTTACGACGGGACCCGTCAATGCAGTTATTCCTTAAAAGCAGCTGCTTATAATGCTAGAAGACAAAAATGACAGTGTACAAGTAAAATACAACTGCGAGTCTATCCCCGCTCAGAAAAGACCGAATTCTCTCACCACTTGATGCGTTTCACTGGAGAAAAATAAAACAGGTCATCGAAAGGCAATAAAATATTCACAGAATTCAAGGCCACGTATGAGAGTTCAGTGTCAAAAAGTCGGAGGAAGTTTCGTACGTGTAAACCATGCTGAAGTTGGACGTGGATGTCGGATTTCGAGAGAGCGAGCGAACTGCGATTATTCCTCTTCGACACAAAATGTACACACATCCAGCGATTATGTCAGCAGTAACCATACTTTTCTTCTTAATGAGAGGTGGCCTCTGATGGGAACAAGAAAACTAAAAATCCAGGAGCACTGAGTCACATTTAGATCTTCCGATCTTAAGAGAGGAGAAAAGGTTTGCTAGCCATTTATAAAAAAAAAAAAAATTGAAGTAACAACAAAAATATTTTTGATATTGCATGAGACCACTTGTGAGGACGCAGGGCAGTCCCACCCAATTCCATTTCCTGTACAAGTACTCTATGTCATCGATGGCCAACTGTGAGTTTCCAGAATGGAGCAAACAGACTGGCATCAGACGCTCATGGTCATGGAAGGAGAGTACTGCTGTAAAGACAGAAAGAAACAAAGTTAATACACTCTACAGGAAAAGTACACTTTACACCAAGTAAACTCACTTTACACCAATTTAGTGTTTGTGTTGCATTGTTCCAGCACACCTTTTTTTTTTTTTTTTTTTAGAGCTGTGCCTAGTAACGGCACATTAAGTTACATAGCTAGCTAGCATTTTCAAAACAGCTATAATACAGGGATCCCCAAACTTGTTTTGTCAGCTGAAAAATATTTGCTTGAAGTACAGATTTGAGAATAAGATTTTAAGTTTAAGTTGATACACTTTAGTAGGCGTTTTCTTATTTTGATCGAATAAATATTTTTGAAAATAAAAACCATTTAAAATTTTCATGACTTAATTATTAGCTTTCCATCTACTCACAAACCCCAGTTTGGAAAACCCTGTTATATAACGTAAAGGGATGTAAAAGTTGATGAATCTTACATTCTCATTCTGGAAGGAGTGAAGGTAGCTGCCTCCTACATCTTCATCTCTAGGGGTCCCGGGTGGATTGCTCATGCCACTCATGTTGTTAGGAGAATTCTGATGATGAGATGTGAAACTTAGTTAGTGAAAAAGTAGTGAATAAGAGTGCTGCAGAGATGACATATTTATTTATTTATTTTTAGCCAACCTGGAAGTTAGCATCACCCTAGTTCCAATAGGATTTTTCCATTAGCTTTTGGATTGCTGCAGAAAATAAGCTGTGTTTGTATTTATGATTCTCTCTCTCTTTTCATGGTAATCTTCATATATGAACACAACATACGAATTTTGAAGCCTAAATACAACCGTCAACAGTAAAAAGCTAAAGTTAGGCTGTATACGAACTACATCACAGCATGACTTCAACATCAACACCACTAGGTTTCTGAAAACTCTTTCGATCTTATTTTAAAATCTACAAGTTTGAGTTAGAATAGTTTCTAAGAGTGTGAGAACAAACACAACAAGCAGTAAAATCTGAATTTAAAAAAAGTCAACCTCTGTAGTCCCATTTAGTCACTTGTTAGCAACTGCCTTTTTAAAGGGGTCCTATTATGCTCTTTTACAGAGTCTTGATTTTGTTTTGGGGGTGTATTAGAACAGGCTCTCATACTAGGTTGTTTGAAAAACACATTATTTTTCTCACATTTTACATTATTACAACACCTCTCTCCCCAGTCTGGCATGAACGGCTTGAATGGTTCCTGTATCAAATGAAGGCTTGCCTTGTGAAATACGAAATGTGCTGTGATCGGTTAGCTGGGCCAGTGTGTGTTGTGATTGGCAGCACTCGGCGCCTGGTCGGGAAATGTCATGCCCCTTACCATAGCCGCCTGCGAGCTTCAGTGTAAATATTGCATCAAAATCAAATCAATTTGAGCGCAATTTAAACCTGGATGATTGTAACCACTCCAAGTTCGTCTGCCTTGGGAAAGCTAGTGTGTCTCCGACATAGTGATAACACTCGTTGCCTTCTCTAGTGCAGGTCAACCAGGTCTCGTCCCATTCATCAATATTTGTGATATCACAAATCCCAGGAAAATATGCATTGTAGTCCAAACGAGTCGTTCTTTGTAGTTTTTGAAAAGTGATTTCTGTTCAATAAAATATCTCCTTTTGAAGTGGACTTTGAGCTTTGTAACTGTGAAGATCTTTTTTATGCTCAAACAGCAACATTACAGACTAACTAAAGTTGAAAAAGTGAAAAAGCATAATAGGACCC